CCCGGCTTCAGGCTGCTCCCACTGGTAAAGCACCTTCATCCTTTTGTGCATTTATTCCTTCCTTCGTTTGCTCACTTGTTCATTCATTTATTGATTCAACACACATGCCGAGCACCTGCTGACTACGCCCCAGGCATGGTGGAGGTGCTGCGGCTATGTCAGTGCATCAGAGATAAAGATCTCCCTCTCTGGGGCTCACGTGTTAGAAGGACCAGGCGGATCACAGTCGATAAGAATAAACCAACCAGTAAATGATGCACCACGTTGAAGGTGACGACTGCCTTGGAAGAAACCAACAACGCAGAGAAACAGGAAGCCAACAGTGCGGTGGGCGGCGGGCGCCCTGCAGGCTTAGGTGGGGGGAGGCGGTCCGGGCAGGTGAGGGTTCAGCCCGGCCCGCAGCCAGGCCCCGGGACGGGGGCTCTTACCTTCAGGAGGAACTTCTCCTTCTCGCTTTTGATTTGTTGCTCCATCTCCTCATAGAGGTGCTGGATTTCTTCGTCATAAGCAGCAATTTTCCTGCCGACAGAAGCAGAGTCTGATGAGATTGACACCGAGACCCCCCTGTCCCGCGGTGGAGAGTCCCAGAGCTCCGGGCGGAGAGGGTGACCACATCGCAGGTCAGGTCAGCCAAGGCTGCAGGGCCAGCTGACCCCAGGGGCCCGGCCGAACCCTCTCGTCCTCCTGTCTCCTGGCCGTCACTCCCCCGGCTCTAGCTTCCTGTCCTCTGCTGCGCTCTCCAGCTGCTTGCCCACTGATCCCTGTGGTATCGGCAGCACAAAGGTGTGTCGTGCTGGCTTCTTTTCTGCTTGGTTTCTTGGCTTCTCTCTTTCCCCCTCTGGATGCTGTCCCTCTGCCTAGCTGCATCAGCACCGTCTGAACTGTACTTGCCTGGAAATTGTGTGCTGAACTTTGTGTGACCCGCACTTCTCAGCAGATTTTCCAGAGGGTCCCTGGTGGTGACCGCCACCACCATCACCACACCCCTCCATAGGAAGGGTCCCACACCTGGCCAAGGGCTCAGGCCGTCTCGGCACAGGGCGAGGCTGGTTAAATGCTGAGGGTGGTGCTGACACGTCCTCACCCCTGCTCTCAGCATCCTCTCCTCCTCTGGAGAGCCCCACAGGACAGGAAGTAAGTAGCTGGGCTCCTGCACGGAGACGGAGACAGACGTGGCTCGGGGACAAGGTCTGTGGGCCACCCCAGGGCAGCTCCTCCTTCTCTCCCAGTAACGGATCCTCCCCCAAGTTCAAACGGGAGGGACTGGGTGTTAGCACCTGAACCAGGACCAGAAGTGACCACACGTGGCATTCCCAGGGGACTGCGTCTTCACGCCTCCTGTCCAAAGAGGGTGTATGAAAGGCCCTGTGGCCCCTCCCTCCCTCCCCTCTTTCTCTCCTGTTACAGGGGCTCTAGGCTCCAGCAAGCAGGTGGATGGCGTGGCTCTCAAGGTCTGTTCTGAACACACAACACACACACCTACCGCAAATTTCGGCACCTGCCCTTTTAAATGCAAACGCTGCCCCTCCTCGTCCTTTACTCGAGGAAACATGCTTTTATAATTGAGGAAAGAGCCCTGGTTCTCAGTTCTGAGAAGTACTGGGGAGATTCTGAAGAATACAACAAGGATGGGAAAGCATTCATTCCTCGGAGCCTTCCACCCTTCAAATACACACCTCCTGTATCTTGATGTCCCCCGGGACTCTGGTCCGGCGCCCTCCCTGCTGCCCGAGGCTGCCCGCAGCCCACTGCCTGCCCTTCCTCACTCACTGCCTGTCAGGGGAGCACTGACTGCCATTTTGATCGGCATCCTTCCAGTCCTACAGAAACCACACAACAGACCCGGACGCGGGAACTGGTGTGGGTCTCCGTGGTCCAGGTCACTCATCTGTCTTTGCTCCCTTTCTTGGTTGGACCCCCAAGACCACCAGCCTGACTTAGAGTGAA